ACAGGCCGTATAGGAACACCCCGCCTGCATTCCAGACCTGATTTGTTGTGATATAGAGAAAACTTTGATGGTTTTGGTGGATGTCTCCATCGCGGATCCACAGCAAGAAGGAAATGCTGGGCTCATACGAGTGACCCCCGTACAGATAGGTGTGGCAGCAGCTAGATGAGTACAAGACAAGTTGCGGGACTAGGGACCGCGCCTCGAGGGGTTGCATCTGTCCCCACATTTGTACGCTCAGCGAGCTGATGCGGCACACGTCTCTCCATGGAATTGCAGCGGGCGCATGCTCAAAGTATCATACAGCATGCGATGCGGCAGTGGGAGGGTCCGACGATAGGAGGATGCCTGCGCCAGTCTCACTGGGTGCAGGGCAGGACAATTGGCATCATACTACAGGCTGTTTTGAGAGTGGCAGACATGCAATACATGTACAATGCATATGTGTAGGCTGTTATTGGCTGGGTTTGAAACATTGTGCCCCGCGTCGTGGTGCAGGTTGCTGTTTTGTTTAATCCTAGGGTGTTTTCTTCCTTAAGCATCTTCCGCCCTTCTTCTCCTCTCTTCACCTTTCTCTTTCCCCTTTTCTTCTTTTCATTTTTCTTCTCTTCTTATCACCCTTTCCTTTTTCTACAATTACTACCTTTCCTGTTTCCTTCCTCTCGTTCTCTTCCTTTTGCACTCCTTACCGTATTCCCCGGGATATAGGACCCGGGGGAGTTTCCTAAAATATAGCAAAAATTGCTAAGGTGAACATTTAGGCAATAGGAGTTCTTAAGACTCGTGTATAATTAATGGACAACTATCGGTTTGTGATTTAGGGGTGTACACCTCAGTTTGAAGTGAGGGGAGGAGAGGGGGTGGTTAATTCGAAACAAAAAACACCCCGTGTGCGCGAAATTTGGGGGACCGGCGTGTTAGAAGCGTCAAATCTTCTATCTGACGCGATTGGTGTGTCAAAACTCGAGTCTCACACAAATGACGCGTCAAAATTCAAATTATGTGCCCCTAAAAGCTGACACACATATTCATTTTCAACTGTTGTATACAGAAGAGGGGGTCTCAAAATGTTTTATAGCAAAAATGGGGGGCCTCAAAATGTTTTATATCAAAAGAAGGGTCCTCACACTTTTTCCCAAAATATGAGTTACAGTACCCGCATACAAGTCTCGGGGGTCCTTTCTTTGGAGGGGGTCCTATATCCGAGAGATTACGGTATCTTCATATCCTTGACTTTGTATTGTACTCAATCCATAATGTAAAGCATAAGGTTTTTGCAGTTTGGCAGACGACAACAGAGGGGAGTACAATTATCATCGTTGAGTACAGTACATGGTTTACATGTCAACCTACAACCTATTTGCCGACGGTGAGGAAAATGAAAGCTCTTTTCTAAACACAAAATGTGATATGGGAGATGCGCATTTGTATGCTTTACATTTGTGCGTTAGCGGTTTGTGAATCGCCTCAGAGGTTCATGAGTTACGTGCATTTTTGTGTCGACGCATTTCATACGTGATACATGAATGTTTGTGAGTTTCCGTAAAAGAGCATAAACGTTCATGAGGTTCCATGGATGTTTACGGATTGTCATAAGTACTCATGAGTTCGTGATTGTTCATGAGTTTGCATGTGTGCTCACTGATTTTCATGTATTTCAGTGTGAGTTCATATCAGTTCATGATTTTTTCATGAGTTTTAGTGAGTGGCGAGTATTTTGCCACTTCGACTGTTTCTCGCTGGTCAAGGTCAACCGCGCGCGAAAGTCAGGACTCGCGCGTAGGGTCCTAACACATGCATGTGGCCCCTCAGGCCTTGCGCATGTGCAGTGGCACTGTTGCGAGCGTGATAGGGCCTACGATCGCAACAAGACAACGCACATGCGCAGGACAGCGCACGTTCGTGCACTCTACAGCGTGATCGAGAATACCGGTCGTGCATGATTGCACCCCTCGGGTGCACGTGGGTTTCAAGGGGTGCCGAGGAATCCCAAGGGTACTCGGGATTGACTCAAGATTTCAGTTAAATAAATTAATCCCGAGCATTGTCCTTTATGACGTGACAAAGGAATTTTCGTTAGAAAGTCATGAGCGCATAACGTAACTATTCCATTGAAGTTCCAAAATGGAATATTCCGTTTTACAATGGGAAAACGGTTTTCCCACATGAGGCTTCATGAATATTGACGGGAATTCCTGAGTGCTCGCGAGGGGAGTTAGTAGGAGCGTTTGGATGATGTGTAATTTGCAAGCACTTACTCTAAGGAGGTGGATCAGGCCAAATGCAGCTCAAATTTGAGAACCATTTTCCAAGAAAACATGGCGAAGTCCCATATTACAGTTTAATAAATGATTAGCATTTGCCTTGTGCTTGCATTTGCTCGTGTTTAGTAGATTCTATAAAAGGTGTTTGTGTTTGATTGTAATCAACCTTTTGCAATCCATTGTAAATCATTCATCAACCTCTTGTGTAACACTTTTAAGAGTGAATGAACGTATTGAAGTGAAGAGCTATTTCTGCAGCACGAGCCAATCAACGTCAAACGCTGCGCTAAGGAGTTTGGGAATGCTCTAGTGCACACGAGTATTTTCATACTTAGGAAATCACTCTACAAAACACGGACCCTTGGATAGGGGCTGGTTTAAAGATATATAGCAGTGTACAACAAGGGCAAGGCGAGAGCAAGAAACAAGCAAGTGAGGCAGAATGGGCGCAAGCCCAAGAGCAGTGTAGAAATGCTGATGATCACCAGACCCCAGGGCCTTGGTGAAGAAATCAGCAGTGTTGGTCGTGAGGCCACGTAAGCAAGGCGAAGCTGACCACGCTGCTGCAACTCTCGCGCTAGAAAGTAGCGAAGAGCAATGTGCTTCGTTCTGTGCTCCAGTCTCTGCTCCCGACACAAGGCAATCATGGCCTTGTTGTCAACGTACAGAACTAGAGGAGAACGAGGCCGCTCACCCAAGTCGGTCAGCAAGTAGGTCAGCCAGCGTAACTCCTGTGCAGCCATAGCCCCAGCGTAGATCTCGGCCTCACAGCTGGTACTAAGCACAGAAGGCGAGCGGGTAGACATCCAAGAGACAAAATCAGTGCTGAGACTGAAAGTGTAACCATGTGAACACCGCTGGATCTCCTGGTCATCCGCCCAAGAAGCGTCTGAGTGTCCAGTGAGCACAACTGGACCCCGTCCTCCAAGCACAAGCCCCATGCCTGATGTACTGCACAAGTAACGCAGTACCCTCTGTGCAGCCCGGTAGTGCTCAGGGCGGTGTTTCCCGGGCGCAACAAAGCGCGCCAGGATACTGAGAGGGTACGCGAGGTCAGGACTAGTGCAAGTCATCACATACATGAGGCAACCCACAAGCTCTGAATACGGACCATTCAGCTCTACGGACTCGTCCAAAGGTGGAGCTGAGAGCGAGTGGCTCGTAGGCAGAGGAGTGGACTGTGGCTAGGAGAACTGAAAGTGGAAGCGCTGAAGGACCTGCTACACCATGAGTGATTGAGTCAGAATGATGGTGCGCCATGCTCTGTCCCGGGTGATCTGCAAGCCAAGATAGCTCCGCAGCTCACCCAGGTCAGACCAAATGTCTCTCTTCTGCAGCTCCACCTTCACAAGGGCATGTGCCTCAGTGTCAGTAATAGCAAAGACCAAGTCGTTGACATACACGAGAATGTAGAACGACGGTAGAGAAGGGTCTGTGCGCAGAAACAACGATGGGTCAGCAGTCGAGGGAGTAAAGCTAAGAGCCGCAATTCTCGTCCTTATTGTGCAAAGCCACTTCCGGGGCGCCTGGCGGAGACCGTAGACTGGCCGTCGGAGGCTCCACTGGGTACCCTCAGGAAACGACCCAGTAAAGCCAGGTGGGCGACGCAGCCAGATCTCCTCGTGAAGGCTGCCCTGCAAGAAAGCTGTGGAGAAGTCGAGCGAGTGCAGCTCGTAGTTACATTGTGCTGCAACATGCAGTAATATCCAAAGAGTGGTAATCTTCGGGGTGGGAGAGAAGGTCTGGAAGTAGTCAGCCCCCTGTCACTGACTAGAGCCTCTTGCAACGTAACGCACCTTGAAGACACGCGGAGAACCCGGCGGCCGCTTCACCCTGAAAATCCACATGCCATCGACTATGTTCGCCCAAGGAGGGAGAACTCTGTCGATGTGGGTGCTAGTGGACTTCCAGGATGCCATCTCTGTGTCCATGGCTGTCTGCCATTCAGAGGAGTGCTGACCCCTGCACCACTGCAGCGGCAACAGTTTTTCTGGCCAAAGCGTCCTGTCCTCCTTCGACGTCACCTTTGACGAGTCGATCTGCTACGACTGTCTCTTCCCCCATGCGTCTTCTCCTGTCCCCGCTGCAGGGGTGCAGGGGTCAGCACCCCTCTCAGTGGCAGACAGGCATGGACGCAGAGATGGCATCCTGGAAGTCCATTTGCACCCACGTCGACAGAGTTCTCCCTCCTAGGGCGAACATAGTCGCAGAAACAGCGACGGGGCGGTGTGCTTTCTTGGAAACATGTGAGGGAGCCAGAGGGGGCTGCAAGACATGGGAGAACAGTGGTGCCGCGTGCAACGACTGGGCCAGACGAGGGTCGGCCGAAGTGACAGGGACAGGTGTTGTGAGCGTTGTGGCTGTGGTGCAGTCGCGAAAGAAGCAGCGAGAAGCACCGGAGTCCAGAGTGAAGGTGTGGAAAGCCTCTGCATGAGCTGCACCTGTGCTAGCGGACTCACAAGCACCTACACTAACAGTCTCTACACTACCAGATCTAGGCACACCCGAGTAATAGTCACCCTCAACACTAGCAGAAGGAGCATAGATTAGCATACATGCCAGCACAGGCCTGGTCCCAATCAAGAGGAAACACGTCTATGCCCTTCTTGAGCAGTGCTAACCAGTCAGGCAGCTGTGCCTTCTCACCAAACTCCATGCAAAAAGCGTCATCGAGGCAGTAGAAGCAGCAAGGCTCAGTGTGCCCCGGCCTGTCGCAGACGTCCCCAACGCGGGGCCTCATGCGCCTGACGTATTGGTAGCGGCCTCCTCATTTGGAGCCACCACGCTGGGCCACCCACTCACGAAGCTGCTGCGGCGAGAGAGTCTCCTGCCGACCCGACTGTTGCTGCTGGTCATCCCCAAAACTTCCGCCTCCACCAGCTGCACCCCTAGGCGCAGCTCCCTGGCCTCCACCCCTGCTAGCTCCACCGCGACCGCCACTTGAGCCCCCTCCGCCACCACCAGTGCCTCCACCATCCCCGCCACCTCCACTGCCACCTCCACCTCCCCCGCCACTACCACCTCCACTGCCCCCACCACCTCCACAGCCACCACCCCCGCCACCGCCACCTCCGCCGCCACCCCCACCACCCTTACCCCTCTGACGCCCACCCTTATTGCGCCTCCCGCTAGGAGCGGACGCCGCACCGGCCTCCTCAGTACCGAGGAAGTCAACAGCAGCGGCAGAGGCGAGAGAAGGCGCTAGGAGGGAAGGGGAGCACCCCTCAAAGAAGGAGGGGCGGAGAGTGCCACGGGAGGCAGGTACAGCGTGGGCACTGGTCTCAACCTCAAGGAGACGGGACCCAAACGAGGCAAGGGTGAGCTCGGTGGGGTCGACGGAGAGGAAGTGGTCTCGGATGGGCTGAGCGAAGGGAGTCAGGGAGGCGGGTCACGAGGAAGTAGACAGTGATGTACATCGGGGAGGGGTTCTCAGCCAGAAACTCTAGCTTGAGAGCAGCACGGTAGCGAGTGTCACTGGAGCGCAGGTGGGTCATGAGGTCAGCGAAATTGGGGAAGTCTGACAGCTCAAGAAAGAGATACAATAGAAGCATGCAGCCTAGGGTGGTAGAGGAGGGGGAGGAGTAGCGCATCACTACAGCGTCATAGACCGCTTTGGCCGTTTTCAGCTGGTGAAAGTGGATCCTATGGTCGGGCGGGAGGTGGTTGCGGACTGCAATTGCGGCAGTGGCCTCGCATGCCAACCACTGTGTACTAGCTAGCGGTCGGCCTTTTACTTCTGCTGTGCATCTACTACGCAGTAGGGGCAGGTGCAGTCGTAGTGGGCGGAGCCGGGAGGGAACCTGACATGTGCTAAAAAAGAGAGACATCGTCATGGGTAACGCTAAGCAGGTACAGATGAAGACCCTCTAGCCAGGACTCCTACTCAATCGGGCTACCCTCGGCGTCAAACTCCAGTAAAGTGGGTGTCGCCATAGTGAGCAGCGCGACCTGGCGATAGTGACGAAGAAGTCAGTACTAGGAACAAGCAGCAGTGCTAGGCCCGGGCGGCGCGGATATGCAGGGCGGCTCAGATAGGCAGGGCGGCTCGGTAGGGCGGCTCGGCAGTGCAGCGGCTCGGTAGGGCGGCTCGGCAGTGCAGCGGCTCGGTAGGGCGGCTCAGTGTTAGAATTCCTCTCCTCTTGTAACCTGCATATATGCTATAGGATAGGCTAGAGATAAGCACCCAAACTTAGTTTGGGTGTACAACCAAGGGTAACCCGGTTGTGAGGTTGGCACCCTTCCGCGGCCCACCCGCCGCTTCCGCATCTCAGCCGCCGCGGCTTCGCAAGCCGCAGCCGTCCGCGCCCACCCCGTCCGCGGCCTCGTCGCCGCATCCGCGCCTACGCTGTCGCGGCTCCTTCAGCCGCCGCCGCCCGCGCTCTTCCCGTCCGCGGCCTCCTAGCCGCATCCGCGCCAGCACCGCCGCGGCTTCGCCAGCCGCCGCCGTGGCTTCGCCAGTCGCCGCCGCGCGCACCCATTCCGCTCGCGGCCTCGACGCCGCATCCGCGCCTGCTCCGCCGAGGCCAGCCGCCGCCGCCGCGGCCAGCCGCCGCCGCCCGCGCCCATCCAGTCCGCGGCCTCTTCGCCGCATCCGCGCCAGCGCCGCCGCGGCCTCGCCAACCGCTGCCGCGCGCGCCCATCCCGTCCGCGACCTCGACGCCGCTTCCGCGCCTGCGCTGACGCGGCCTCGCCAGCCGCCGCCGCCCGCGCCTCTCCCTTCCACAGCCTCGGCGCCGCTTCCCCGCCTGCGCCGCCGCGGCCTCACCAGCCGCCGCCCGCGCCCCTCCCTTCCGCGGCCTCAATGCCGCTTCCGCGCGTACGCCGCCGTGGCCTCGCCAGCCGCCGCCGCCGCCCGCGCCTCTCCCTGCCGCGGCCTCGACGCCGCTTCCGCGCCTGCGCCGCCGTGGCCTCGCCAGTCGCCGCCGCTCGTGCCTCTCCCTTCCGCGGCCTTGACGCTGCTTCTGCGCCAGCACCGCCGCGGCCTTGCCAGCCCTCGCTGCCCGCGCCTCTCCCTTCCGCGGCCTCGACGCCGCTTCTGCGCCAGCACCGCCGCGGCCTCGCCAGCCACCGCCGCCCGCGCCTCTCCCTTCCGCGGCCTCGATGCCGCTTCCGCGCCCACGCCGCCACAGCCTCGCCAGCCGCCGCCGCCCGCGACCTTCTCTACCGCGGCCTCGACGCCACTTCCCCCCGCACATCGTCGCGACCCCGCCAAACCGCCGCCGCCCACGTCCCCCATGGCTAACCCCATGTCCTCCCCCTCTCCTCTTCCTCCCCCCATCGATATCTCTTCCGTTGACAAATTGCAACTCGCCGCTGACAAATCTGCCATCAATTGGCACTCCTTCGTCGGCGGCGTTCGACGTGTCCTCAAAGACGCGTGGGTTCCTCCCTACTGCGTCCTAGATGTCCTCCTCCGCCGCCCCCATGCCCTCCACCCCACCGAACCTGAGCACCCTGGCGAGACCCCCCCTCTCCCTCCCTCACCCGGCCCTCCTCCTCCTGAACCCGACCTCCAGATCACCACGGACCAAACTACTGCAGACGCAGACTTTCTTCATCGTCGCCGTGAGTATCTCATCCGCAAAGCTGACTACGACGCCGCAGCTGACGACTACGCCCAGGCGGTTACCGGACGCAATGCCCACCTCGCCGTTGTCACCAAATACAATGAAGATATGGCATCCTTCACTCCAAGGCTCATCGTCTGGTCAGCTGCTGACAATCGCGCCTGCACCGTTCTCCTTGGGGCTCTCCCTGACTCCCTCATGCGCCGCTTTTAGGCTTTGGAGCTCCCTGCCTTTGTGATTTGGGCGGAACTTCACGCGATGTTTTGAGCGTCGCGACATTAGCTCGGTTGGCATTCTCTTCCAAGAATACTTTTCCATCACTCTTGCTACCTGTGACGGAGCAGTCGACTACGTCAGCCGCATGCGAGAGGTAGCTGACCGCCTCGACGCCCACAAAGACGGCCTCTCCGAACCTCTACAAATCCATCGCCTCCTCTTCAACCTCACCCCAGGCTATGAATCCTGCCTTCACGCCTTCACTGAAGCCAACCCCATGGCCGACCTCGACTCAGTTGAGCAGTGGATTATAGATACCGAAGTCAAACTTCGCACCCCTGTCATCAATCTCGCCTCCTCCCAGCCCTCCTCCTCCTCCCTCAATGCCACACAGCCATGCAAGCAGGGCAAAGGGATCGGCAAAGGGGGAGTTGGGGGCAAGGGAGGCAGCGGTCCAGGGAGCAGTAGCGGAAGCAGCCGTGGCGGCACAGGCGGGGATGCAACACCAAAACCCGCCCTGGCACTCTCCCACCCTGCACCTATGTCCGTCGTTACGGTCCCCTGCAGGAACACCCTGCGGCCAAACCAATTATCCCCCTGGCACCTGCTTCAAGGCCCTCGACGATGCCTCGTTCGCACGGGGTAACGTTGACACACCTCCCCGCTGGGTACCATCACCCCTCGTCCCTCCATTGCTGACATCCAAACCAACCTTGCTTACCTCCCTACCCACCTCCACCTCCTTGCCCCCCCCGCCCCATTCCTCAATCTTCAGCAGCAACACATTCTGCAGCAGCAGCAGCAGCAGCAGTTCCAGCAGCAACAACAGCAGCCGCAGCAGCAGTTCCAGCAGCAGCCGCAGCAGCAGCAGCAGCAACAGCAGCCGCTGCCACCACCGCAGCAGCTTCCATGGGGACCTAGCCTTCAGCCACCATGGGGACCCAGCGCTGCTCCCTGGCAGCAGCAACAGCTGAACTTCGGCACGACAGCCACAACCGCTCAAACCTCCCCCGCCCCCCTTTGGGGTGCTCAGTCCCCCAGTAGTGCTCTCACACCCCTCACCAAGATAGCTTCCTTGGCAACAGTGCTCTCTCACCATCTCTTCCCTCTATGTACCCATCCAACATTAATGAGACGACCTTCCAGTACTCGGTTTCTTCCTCCTCCTCCCCCACCCTGGACTTTGTCCTTGATAGTGGGGCCACTGAGACTGCTCTCAAGGATGCTGGTACACTCACACTCCTCCCCCTTCCCACTCAAGTTCATGGTGCTGATAACAACTTCACCATCCCATGCACACTCCTTTCCACCCTCCCCTGCACAATCTTTCCCTTTGGTAAGGTACCTGGCCTCCACATCCCCACCCTCCGAAATAACCTCATCTCCCATCGGGAGCTCCAAGGTGCACGTATCACTGCCGTCTATCCAGGTCACGCCACTTAATCTGACCTCTATCACACTGCCTCGGGTCGCTTCCTTCAACGCATTCCCCTCTGCCCTCGCACCCGCCTCTACTCTCTCTGTACCCCTTGGCCATCCTTCTGCCATGTCACCACACGCGCTGGTACCTCCACTAACCCTCCCCACCTCCCTCCACCAAATCCCGCTCCACCACCAACTTCCATTCCACCCTCACTCACTCCAACACCCTCCACCTCCGACAACCTCTCCCACCCCGTTGTACTGTTACACCACAGACTCGGTCATCCCAACTTCACTGCTCTCCGCACTGTCGTCGCTTCCTGACTCCTTAACAGCCTCCCTCCCACCCTTCCTCCCCTTCCTTCCTCTCCGACCCCCCATGCCCCTCCTGCATCCACGGCAAACTCAAACAATCTCCCCATCACAGCCACCCATCCTTCGCCCCTACTCCTCTGGACATTATCCACATGGACCTATGGGGACCATCCCCCACCCGCTCACGCCAGGGCCGTCGCTACATGCTGGTCCTCGTCGACGACCACAGCCGCTACTCCTCCGTTTTCCTCCTCCACACGAAAGCCCAGGCGCCGACTGTGATCATTCACTGGGCAGAACAATGCCGCACCCACTTCAAACGTCCCATCGGCCGCCTTCACTCTGACGGTGGAGGCGAATTTCTCAATCACACTCTCTCCACCTACTGCGCCACCCATGGCATCCAACAGACCCACACCCTTCCCCACTCCCCGCAGCAGAATGACGTCGCAGAAAGCCGCATTCACGAAATGACCAAAATCGCTCGCTGTCTCCTCGCTCACGCCTCCGCCCCTCCTTCCCTATGGGGCTATGCCCTCCTCCATGCTGCCCTCCTCCTCAACCTTCACTTCCATCCCCTACAGACTACCACCACCCCCACGGAACTCTGGTCAGGCACCAAACCTGACGCAGCAGGTCTCCGGGTATGGAGCTGCAAGGCATACGTACTTATTCCTCCTCCCGAACGCACCCGCGGCAAGCTTGCCCCTCGCGCTCTGGAGTGTGTCTACCTCGGACACAACCGCAACTCACCTGGCTATCTCTTCCTCCACCCTCCCTCCGGACGACTCATCCGAAGCATTGATGTCGTCTTTGATGAAACCATCCCTTACTACTCCACTCCTCCACCAGATCCCCTCCCTCCCCCTACTCGTCCCCTCGCCTGGACCGACTCCGTCCTTCCTCCCCTCCTTCCTCCTGCCCCCCTTCTCCCACCTCTCCGTGCTCCTCTCCCGCCACCCTCATCTGCTGACATCTATGATCCTGCAGCTCCTGCATTCCCAGCCCACTCCACTGCCCTCCCTCCCTCTTCCCCCTCCTCCCCTCCTTCTCCTCCGCCCCAGCAGCAGCAGCAGCAGCCGCAGCAGCAGCAGCAGCAGCAGCCGCCGCAGCAGTCGCAACAGCAGCAGGGGCAGCCGGAGCGGTCGCAGGGGCAGCAGCAGGGGCAGCCGCAGGGGCAGCAGCAGGGGCAGCGGCATGGACAGCAGCAGGGGCAGCAGCAGGGGCAGCAGCAGGGGCAGCAGCAATGGGAGGAGCAGCAGCCACAACAGCAGCAGGGGTTCCAGCAGCACCAGCAGCAGCAGCGGCAGAGAGCAACTGCTCGCTCCTCACCCTTCCTCCTCCCCCGCATGCATACCCACTCCCTTGATCCTATCCTTGGCACCCCGCCCTCTACCTCCCTCCACCTCCTTGATGACTCCCACGAGGAGTTTACCACGGTCCAGCACCACACTCCCTCTCTCGCCCCGCTCTATCCTGACTTCCTCGGCGCTCTTATCTTCAGCGCCATCTCCGCTCCCACCATCTTCGTCCCCTCCACCTTCCAGGAAGCTATCACCTGCCCTGACGCTGACAAGTGGATAGCCGCTATCTTCCTGGAATGTGAGGCGTTCATTCGCAACGACTCCTTCATTGACGTTCCCCTCCCCTCTGACGCTAATCTTGTTGAGGGCAAGTGGATCTTTCGCGTGAAGCAGCTACCGGAAGAAGAACCAGTCCACAAGGCCCGCTACGTTGGCAAAGGCTTCACTCAAACCTGGGGTGAGGACTTCTGGTTCACATTCGCCCCTACTGTTAAGCCGCCCACCCTTCGCACCCTCCTTGACATTGGTGCACGTGACGACATGGAGATTGACTCCATGGATGTTTCCAACGCGTTCCTCCAAGGCGAACTACACGAGCGCATCTTCCTGCGGCGCCCCCCCGGTTTTCATGCTGCTTTCGCCGACAATACCGTGTGGCAACTGCGCCGCCCGGTCTATGGTCTGAAGCAGGCGCCGCGGGAATGGCATGCGAAGCTGTCTGCCACCTTACGATCCCTCGGCTTCTCTGCCTCCCACTCCGATGCCAGCCTCTTCATCCACTCCTCGCCCCGTCGCTTCTTCATCTCAGTCTACGTTGACGACATGATCCTACTTGCTGATTCCAAGGCCAACATGGAGCAGGTGAAGCGATCGCTGCAGGAGCGTCTCAAGTGCAAGGACCTTGGCCCACTACAGAACTGTCGAGATTGAGAAGCTAGAATGAACGAACTATGAGAGATTTTGGTACAAATAGAAACCCTAAAGGGGTTGTACCCCATATTGGCTACCCCACTACAGCCTACAGATAATCATATAATAGATATGGTTTGACACACCCCCATAGGCAAAGTGGAGGAGAACAAGGGGTCACAAGACCAGTCAAGAAAAGCAAAGCAAGCTCAGGGTGGATCACGACGTCACCACACATTCCGAGCACAAGCAAAATACCATATGGCCAGTTCACATGCATAGTTATATAAGAGAGAGCAAACAGTATAGTGATCACTACCTAACATGTGTAAGGATGCTGGTATATATAAAGATCACAGTACAGACAAATTCAAGCAATGAGCAAGTGAGAGATCGCAGGCACGAGGCCCAAAGCAGTGCAGTGACGCTGATGATCACTAGGCGGAAGTGCCTTGGTGAATATATCAGCTGTGTTGGCCCGCGTGTCCACGTAAGCAAGACGAAGCTGGCCGCGCTGCTGCAGCTCTCGAGCAAGGAAGTAACGCAGAGCGATGTGCTTCATTCTGTGCTCCAGTCTGTGCTCCTGACACAAGGCGAGGGCTGCCTTGTTGTCGCCGTACAGAACTGGAGGAGAACGAGGCCGCTCTCCCAAGTCAGTCAGCAGGTAGGTAAGCCAGCGTAACTCCTGAGCAGCCATGGCTGTGGCATAGATCTCAGCCTCGCAACTGGAGCGAGTAGACCGCCAAGAGACAGAGCCGGAACCAAGGCTGAAGGTGTAACCCTGTGACGACCGCTGTGTAGCCAGGTCATCAACCCACAAAGCGTCTAAGTGTCCAGTGAGGACAACATCACCCCGTCCTCCAAGCACCAGCCCCATGCCTGATGTACTGCACAAGTAGCGCAGCACCCTCTTAGCAGCCTCCCAGTGCTCTCGCCGGTGTCTCCCAGGCGCAACGTAGCGAGCTAGGATGCTAAGAGGGTACGCAAGGTCAGGTCGTGTGCAGGTCATCAGGTACATGAGGCAGCCCACAAGCTCTGGGTACGGGCCACTCGGCTCTACGGACTCGTCCGAAGGTGGAGCTGAGAGCGAGTGACCGGTAGACAGAGGAGTGGACTGAGGTGAGGAGAACTGGAAGCCGAAGCGCTGAAGAACCTGCTGCACCATGTGTGACTGGGTCAAGGTAATGGAGCGGCGTGCTTTGTCCCGGGTGATCTGCAAGCCAAGGTAGCTACGCAGCTCACCCAGATCAGTGCAGGTGTGTCTCTTCTGCAGCTCCGACTTCACAAGGGCGAGTGCCTCAGTGTCAGCAGTGGCAAAGACCAAGTCGTCGATGTACACGAGGATGTAGAACGGCGGCAGGGAAGTGTCGGTGCGCAGGAACAGCGACGGGTCAGCAGTGGACGGAGCAAACCCAAGAGCCGCAAGTGTCGCCCTCAGTGTGTCGTGCCACTCACGAGGCGCCTGATGGAGACCGTAGACTGGCCGCCGGAGGCTCCACTGGGTACCAAGAGGGAAAGGCCCAGTGAATCCAGGTGGGCGGCGCAGCCAGATCTCCTCGTTCAGGCAGCCCTGCAAGAACGTTGTGCTGAAGTCAAGAGAGTGAAGCTCGTAGTCACGCTGAGCGGCGACGTGCAGCAGCACCCGAAGAGTGGTCATCTTCGAGGTGGGGGAGAAGGTCTGAAAGAAGTCAACTCCCTGTCGCTGACTGAAGCCTCGTGCAACGTAACGAGCCTTGAAGACTGGCGGAGAACCCGGCGGCCGCTTCACCCTGAAAGTCCACATGCCATCGACTATGTTCGCCCCAGGAGGGGGAACCTCGTCGACGTAGGTGCTTGTGGACTTCCAGGATGCCATCTCTGCGTCCATGGCTGTCTGCCACTAAGAGGAGTAAGGACCCGTAATCGCCTCTCGGTAAGAGCGCGGGGTCGGGATGTCTAGTGCATCCGGGTCTCCCTCAGCAGCAAGCAGCCAGGCCATGAGATGAGTTGCAGCAGCCGCAAGACAGTCAAAGTCCTCCTGCCTGTCCTCAAGGACGTCCGTGCCAAGAGCACACTCACCCCCGACGGACGGAGGATAGACAGACTCAGACTCAGCAACAAGACTGGTGGCGTAGTCTAGACGACACGCAGCAGCAAAGTCGACCAGCTCAGCAACTAAGGCAGACGCAGCAGTAGACTCAAACGACGGGTCGGTGACAACAGTGGCAAACATACGCGTGACAGTAGGGTGAGCAGCACGAAACCGGTCGGACTCAGGGTCCGGAACGTCAGGCAAAGAAGACGCAGGAGGAGACGGCAGGGGAACACGCTGTGGAACAGAGGAAGGATGAAGTGCCATAGTGTGCGTGCCGGGGACAGGAGGTGGACGCGTACGACGACGACCAGTGTGACGAGCGCGAACAGGCGAGGCAAGACGAGACGCAGGCTCACGACGCTCTGTAAGCGAGTCTGTCTGCTCAGGGTAAGGAGAAGGAGCAGGCAGTGGTGAGCCTGGCTGTAACGCGAGGCCAGTAGAAGACGGGAGGGTAAGAACCTGGCGAAGCACGGAGTCAGGCGGTGGCAGAGACGACGGTGACGGCGGAGCGAAGAACAGTCGCGGCTGCGCAGTGCCACCAGTACCAGTCCCACCAGCACCAGCAGCTCCAGCGCCTCCAGCAGCTCCAGAACCTCCAGCGCAAGCACCTCCAACTCCGGAGCCACCAGCAGCAGCACCCCCAGAACCAGCACCCCCAGCTCCAGGGTCTCCAACTCCCGAGTCGACAGCACCAGCTCCAGCGCCTCCAGCTCCAGTACCTCCAGCAGCTCCAGAACCTCCAGCTCCAGCGCCTCCAGCGCCAGCACCTCCAGCTCCAGCGCCACCAGCAGTAGCACCCCCAGAACCAGCACCTCCAGCTCCAGTGCCTCTAACAGCAGCCCCCCCAGAACCTGCACCTCCAGCTCCAGAGTCTCCAACTCCAGGGTCGACAGTTCGAGCTCTAGGGCCTCCAGCCCCAGTACCTCCAGTAGTAGCACCACCAGTCCTGGCAGCTCCAGTACCTCCAGTACGAGCACCTCCAGAACCAGAAAAACCAGCACTCCTAGGGTCTCCACGACGAGCAGCTCCAACCTCAGCACCTCGGACTGTAGTACCTCCAGCAGCAGCACCTCCAGCTCCAGCAGCACGACTCCTCAAGCGGGCACGCCACGCAAGCCACTCGCGCAGCTGCTGTGGTGAGAGAGGCCCCCATCGTGACGAGAGACCCGGAGGGACACCAGCAGACTCAGCACCCCCCGACCCGGCACCCTCCGGCTCAGCACCTCCAGTCTCCGCACTCGTAGGCTCAGCACCCCCAGGCTCCGCACTCGCAGGCTCAGCGCCCCCAGGCTCCGCACCCCCCAGCACCTCACGCACAGGCTCAGCACCCCCAGACGCAGCACCCCGAGCAGCACCACCCACAGCAGCACCTGAGTCGCTAATGACCTCGACAGGCTCAGCCAAGGGGAGTGGGTCTACCTGAGACACACCTGAAGGAGCAGGACCCTGAGGGGGAAGGGGGTCTACCGGAGGGGGACCTGGAGCGAGGAAAAGCGGCGGGGGAGGCAGAGGAGCAGTGCGGTAGGGGAAGAGACGGTAGAAAGAAACCGACTCGTCAAAGGTGACGTCCTGAGAGGACAGGACACGGCGCAAGGTGGGGTGGTAAAACTGCCAGCCAGGCGTGTGAGGGGGGAAGCCGAGGAAGACACAGGGAATGGTGCGAGAGGAGAGCTTGTCCGCGGACGTATCGCGGACAAGGGCACGAGAACCCCAGACCCGGAACACCGACGCATCGCCAACCTCTCCCGTCCAACGCAGTGTGGGCGAGGTCTCCGGCAAGGAGACACGGGGCCAGAGGTTGAGCTGATGCGCAGCGTACCGGACCGCAAACGGCCACAGAAAATGGGGAGCCGCCGCATGGATCAAGGAGGTACGAGCGATCTCCATGACCAAGCCAATGCGGCGCTCAGCAACCCCATTCTGTTGTGTGATGCTATCATTCGCATTCACATCTGTCTGCCTCCCATCATATGTTCGTGCATTGCATGCGTGGTGTGAGCGTGTGCAAGAATTTGTGTTTGGTGTGGTTTGGATTTTCTGAGCATGTGTGAATGTTATTTTGCTTGAGCAGATATTTAAAATGACTTCTCGGTTCAAGAGTTTCTCGACGAACCAAGAATCGTCGCGATCGGAGCAAGAACGAGAAAGTTATTATCGTTCGAAGTTTTGATTGTGATGCGGCGACTTTGGGAATTTGTGGAGTGACTCTATATGGGGTATAGACTTTTGGGGGTTGGGAAAATTCGTCAATCTACTGTAGATTTATGCCAAATGGTTGGGAGAAGCCAAACCAGGTTGGCAAGTGTGGCCAAGTTGGGTGAGGTGGATGGCATGGGTTGGGAAATTGACAAGAGTCAAAGTTAGTGTTCCTATAGGGAGGGAATTGTGTGTTTATGGGGTTTCCTTGGTTGGGAACTCCAATAGGACCTTCCCTCTCGTCCTCCTCTTCCCTCCTACCTAGTTGATTGCTACTCTAATCCTCTTTGTGACAACTTCTGAGAACAACTGTGATTGAGTTAAGTTTCTATGGCAGCTTACCCCCTAGTGCGTCGAAATTCATAACTCGAGTTATACTCCATCTTTGGATGCGATTCAAATTGGGAAAGATAGCCAAGGTCACGGGCTACAATATACTCGAGTTTTCGAGAATTCCAACGGTTAGTTTTTCGTCGACGGCGTTTCTTGTGAAGTCGACTTTTCTGTCCAGAGCATAGGTCCAACGATTTTGAGATATTTCGGCCCCTAAATGTTCTAGACTCCGTCCTTAGTCTCTAACGTATTCTGCTGCGGTGAGTCCGGAAGCGTGTACGAATGGAGGATGCCCTCCCTCTGACAGAAGGCCCGCAAGAGGTCGGAGGAAAACTCGCCACCTCTGTCAGAGTGCAGACGCAGGACAGGAAGGTCCGTCTGGAACCTGCGGCGGATCTGGAGACGGACTGCGCGGATC